AAGCTCAAACTATTCAAATATCTTTTGTTGTTCATTATGTCCATGACACTGTGTCCTAAATGGCCGCGAGTGGTACTGCGCTGTGCACCGTTTAGAGCTGAACTTTTGTCGGACACCGTTTCTATTTATATTACTGTCACATGCTTTGAAAATGTCAGATAGCAAGTACTACTTAGACATTTTCTTTTTGAGGTTACGTCTCCAGTCTGATCTGGAGCTCAGTTGATAGGTACATGGTTTGCTTACATGATGTAACGCATCACACGTGTTGCTGTCTGTCGCCATCTTCTATTATGGAACACAAACTTACATTGTGTCTTGGCTCAAATGGTCAAACAGAGCTGCATCCTTGCTGGTCAGTGCCGTGAAGACTGTTGGAGGAAACCGGACTTGGCAGTTGATCATTGGTTGGGCTGCTGGGGCTCTCTGACTCACAGGGGCTTCGCTTTCACTGCTAAAGGGGAGGAAAATCAGATTTTAATTTAAGCCAACATGTAAGAAAACTACCAAAAACAAGACAAGTAAATCCTTGGAATTGTAACTGAAATGACATGGCTTCACTGTATAACGTAACTCACACTTTCAGCTGCGCTAAAGCAGACAGGAACTTCACTTGGTCTTTCATTTTTGGAAAGATTCGCTCACTCATTCTTTCAGACATCTGGAGAAGTGTAGGCCCATCTACTTCATTATCTATGGCAGAGAGAAACATTATTGAACCAAAATCATGTTAGGAGTCGGTATATGTGTTGCCATGTTTCGGAATTAACATTCTTGCCTTGCTTAATGCTGAACATCCTTGAATGGCCGATGTATCAGTGTTATGAGGTCTTTACCATCACAATGACTACATATGTCCACATTAGTCATTAGTGACTGTATGACTATAGTGCTTAACCTATTACTGTATTGCACAAGACATTGAAAACGAACAGCTTATGCTCAAGTCTGGGTGAGCAGCATCCATCATTCATAACAGAGTTTTTCCTGACCTGTGCACAGTAAAGGCACCAGGGCTGTTCTATGCATCCAGTAGATAAAATGGTTCTTCAGTAGGGGATGGTTCTTCGTGGAACCACACTGCCTTTTAAAGAACCATTTAAGAACCTTTTTTTTCTGTGTGTGGGTCTAGATTGACCTGAGCAGTAAAGCTGGCCTTAGACAGCCTCTTTCAGTCCAGCTAGTCCCTGAACAATGAAAAGAGACATGCTACTGTGTTTCAGAAGAAAGTGCCAATAGTCTGCAAACTTTCCAGTTCCAGACAGCCCAGCCGCCCTTTCATCTTGTCTAGACTGTGACATCATAAAAAAATATATACTGCTAGCATTCCTCTAGAGAGCAAAACTGGACTCATGTTCCCTCAGGTCTGCTAAAAAACATAAAATGAAAATTCTAAATTCAAATGTCCGATAACTGCTATCACAAAGTCGGTCCTGACTCCGACCCAAGGGGAAAACACAGACTGTCAAAAACAAATACAAATTTATGCAGACGGCCTCAGCGGACCTGAAGATCTGTCATAAGCATTCTCGCAAGTATGCACACAAATATGCATACATTACACACGCATGCATTATATCTAGTGTGTGACAGGGATAAACACTGATGCTGCCAGCTTATTCTTTAAGACATGCTGGATTAAGCTGGAGTGATGACTGGCAGGGATTTCATTGTTCTTGTTGCACTGAAATACTGAAGGATGCTACATGTAGGATTTTGTCATTGTTTGATTAGAAATCGTTTCAGTCTGTTTTGAGAGTGAGTGGCAAACGGCATAAAGAACGTAAAGTGTGAGTATGTGTGTCAAAGGAACGAGCAATGACTACGGGAAATGAACAGAAGCTAGCTGTCAGTAGGCTGTTTGGGGCTTTCCAAGAGCTGGCATCAGTGGCTATAGCTCAGGAAGTGAGCAGCCGGCCCAAGTCACCTTCAGTCAAAGATGTCCTGTTTGTGATTGGTCCGTAATGTAGCAATCTTGAGATTAGCAGCTTAAAAGTACAGTGTGGCAGAAATGGAAAATAATATTATTAAGTATGCTTTCTTTGGTGTGTAATCACCTTTAAAATTTAGAATCGTTGTGTTTTCGTCACCTTATAAATAGCTAAATTAGCTTTGTTTCTACAGAAGCCCAGAGCGGACAAACCAAACACTGGGTCTAATTTGGGCCATTCTGGCTTTCGTGGTTTTGCGTTTTCGCAGCAGCCACCATAGTTCACCTACATGCTTAGCAACGGGGAGAAGTCTCAGTTGGTTGCAATCTGCCACCTCGCTGCGAGATGGCACCAAATCCTACACACTGCACCTGTTTAAAGCATGCGTTCATACGAAAAACAGCCCTGTGTTAAAAATCAAACAAACAATGGGCTTATCAACTGCCTAAACACGGTACACCAGTTATCAACGCAGCAAACGGCAGGCAAGTTCAACTTTTTTGGCTGACCACCGTGTATGTTTTTGTTGCCAAAGCACTTCTAGCATTGACACCCCCGGCGCTGCATTACTGAAGTGGCCTCATTTAAATGAACAATACAAGTTGGCAAACAGTTGCAGGCTCTCTCTCTCAGTCCAAACAGCAGCTCGACAAAGTCAAAACGCTGCTACGCAGGACGTAACACACCCCATATGAGCCTGATATTAAACCCAACACAAGTTGAAAGGTATTCAGAGAATTTCCCATGCAGAGGTTTGTGTTTACTCAGAAACATTTTAGTGATTTTTCATACTTGATGCCGTTTGGAGTTGTTATTATACTTTTTTTTTTTTTTTAAGTACATCACAAGTACCTATAAGCACAGCAGAAAATGCTCTCCTGGGAGTTATTGCTCTAATACATCATTGGAATTAATTGTGCCAAAACATTCAGATGCAGTCAAGAAGGGACTGCAGTTGTAATAGGCAATAACTCCAGTGCTTTTTTTCATTGGGTCCACTTTGGTGCCTGTCACGTTTGATTGCCCACAGAACTTCTGAAAAAAGTCCTCCCCCCCCCCCCCCCCCCCCCAAAATAGCTGAGTGCTTCCTCATTTTATGTGCTGGAACTCATGCCTTTACGAAAATCACCTTATCTCCTCCGAATCACATCACGGCTCCCACATCGTCCTCCTATAGTCACTCTGATTTGCTTCCTGTCCTAACAGCAGCAAGTTACAAATACAACTTCTATACTGTTCCTTATTATTATTCTCACGTCCCCACTCTTGAAGTAATTCCACCGTTGTGCTCATTGTGAGTCACTCAGGATAAGAGACGCTGGCTAAACGCCCCAAATGCAAATGAAATTGTAAAAGAATCTCTGTAAAAGTCAAGCAAGTTTACAGTTACTGTGAGTGAAAGAGAAATGATGACATGACGCTGGTAAAAACAGCTGACACAGCTCTGGGATGTACCGCAGACGATCATTATTACAATTAATTTGACAATGATATATTTTGTAAGATTGCACCTCTGAGCTGTATTCACTAGGATCACGGTTTACAGCTTATTGCACATGGTTCACACTCACCTGCTGTTTACACCTGTCACGATGTCTCGTTCTTTTTATGCATACTTTATTCAGAAGCATACATTGATTTATGGCCTTACATTAATATTAAAAGGATAGGTGCTGGAGATGGATCTTACACAGAGCAACGTAGAATAAGGGCAGATATATATTTACCTGCTAATTCCTCCAGCTGCCTTCAGGCTCTGTTTTGATCTTTTATCGTCACATTTTGGGCTCTCGGGGTACTTTGACAAAACATGCGTGATGTTTGTCTCATTCCTGGCGGTATTATGCTGAATAACGCTCACACCTGTAGCAGGCACCTCCTCCCTATCTCTATTTGTCGCTGCCACCTGCTTCCGTCTCACCAACAACCCACCACCACCTTTCTGGCCCCCCCATTGAGTTCAAACAGAGAGGCCTATTTTCACACACTCCGAGCCTCTCTCAGGGGGGATAAATACATACGCTGCATTAATTCAGCCGTGTCTTTGCAGACTTCAGTCAAATATTTTTTTTTACTCTCTTAAGGGACTCAAGGACTTTCAGCAGAGGGTCCTTCCATTTACTTTGTACTCCCGGGTGGGATATTTCCATTTGAATGAGTGCCTGTGGCCTGGGTTGTATCTCATCTACAGACACACATGTGTGTGCGTGTGTCTTCCAGAAGTTTCTCTATAAACACTGCATGTACCTGCATGGATTTACAGTATATGTCCATATTTAATGAAGTATTGTTTGTACATGCCGTTTGGTGTGTGTGTGGTGTACGTGTGCACACACGCTTTTGCTTATGTAATATAGATGTTAAAAATATGTATGCCTGAGGTTTTTTTATGAGCATAGTGTGTAGTGCATAGCTATCATCCCAGTTCAATGAGGTTGGTGCAAATCTTGAGTCACGTTAAGCTAAACTTTGGGCTCTCTGTATGGAAGCAGGCTCCCCCCTCAACCTCGCCTGGAGCACTGATGGGATGAAAAATGGATAGAAGCCCCAAAGGAAGGAGGGGGGAGGTCCATCTGTGAGCTGCATTCAAGGACAACAGTGTTATCCACTTTGGAACAGTATGAAACAAGCCAGTGTTTTCAGTGGGGTTTGGAAATGCGCGCTTCTGGATGAACTGTGGATGCTACTGTTGTCTTGCCAAGTCAACTGTGATGTTGCAGATTAGATGCGAATCATTGACTCCTTGTTTGTATCAGTGCGGCTCTTCTCTATCGGAGTGAGAGATAATGAACGGATGTGACTGATTGTTTCTGATCAGTGTTGTGGTGAATTACTGCCGCAACAGGGATTGTTTTAGCATGCAGCACTCGGGTGCTCGTAAAAAGCTGCTTTTAATGTGATTTTACGTTATACACAGCCCGGAGGTGTTGGGGTTTGGCTGTATCTATTCATCTTTGTTTTGTTCTTGTTTTCTCTTCTCCCTTCCCCCTTCCCCCCCACCCCACTTTCTAACTTCACTCTTTTTTTTCCTCTTTTTGTGCACTTTCAACTTCCTGTCCTCTCTGATAGAACCGATTCAACCTGCAGATGTCGGCCCGTGTGCCCCCGTCGACCCTGGGCAGCCTGCTGCTGGCGGTCCTGCAGGGGAGAGAGGGGGACAGGGACAGAGGGAACCGGGGGGGAAGCAGCTGGGGAGGAGCAGCTGTAATCTGCCCCGGGTGGGAGGAAGGGGGTGAAGGGTTGCTGTCTCACCTGCAGACACACAGCGGTTCTAACTGGCATTTGTGGGACATCATCAACCTGACCCTCGTCTCCGGGGGCGGGGACAGAAGAGGGGAGAGCAGGGAGGAGAACAAGGAAGAACAGAGGGAAGAGGAGGCTTTGAAGATCCTCTCTGCCCGTTTCCTGCGCTCCCCCTCTCCTATCTCCTCTGTACTCCTCCTGGGATCGGACCCTGAGTGTCTCTCCGCCGTCTTGCGGGCAGCTCAGCGGCTCGCTCTGTCACTACCAGCACTGCAGTGGATCATGGGATATCCCTTGTCTCCAGACTCGCTCCACACTCTAGGAGGTCCCCTTGGACTGTTGGCCTACGGGGAGGTGGGCCGCAAGCCGATCAGCTTCTACATCCGGGATGCTTTGCAGCTGATTGGCCGCGCGGTCACTGCGGCGACCATGGTGAGGCCGGACCTGGCGCTGATTCAGAACATGGTGAATTGTTACGACAAACCAAACAGACATGAGCTGCCCTCTTCAGGACAATATCTGGCCAGGTAAATGCACACATGCACTGAATATACACACATTAGATAAAAAAGGAGAAGAGAAGAAACACAATGTTCTTGTTTACCTCCAGCAGTGTCAATCTATGCAGATCGTAGATAGATACCGGGCCTGTGAAGAGACACGGCTACTGTTAGTGAGACCCCGCTCATCTGTATAATGCAGGATTCAGGCCCGATGACCCAGCAGTTGCTGTTAATGACAGCAGGCTAGGCTAGCTAACCTTTATATCCTGGGAGGCGAACAAGCTTCCACTTGGAGCTCGCTTGTGTGATTTCTGTGAGATTTCTACCTCCGTCCCACTATAATATTCATATTTACATAAAAAAATTCATAGACACCTCTCTCCAGGAGTGTCCCTGTTGCCCTGGATAATCCACAGACCTTATTGTCAACACTTTTAGTGTGGACTTTTTCTTTGATAAAGTGTAATTTTTAAATGTCTTTGTGCAAGTTAGGTAAACCGACCTTTGAAGACGAATTCACACAGGACAATATTAATTTTATGGCACTTTGCTGAAGGCCAGGAGAAAGGTCAGTTCCAGAGCAGTACCCTGCAGGTGGTGGAGATAAAACTTCAACAGAGTGGACTATAGAGAAACTTATTCCTCTTCCAAAAATTAAATGTAAGGCTTCAGGCGACATAGGATTAGTAGTGGTCAGGTCAGCAGTGGGCCACTATTACTCTCTGTCACCCCTGTAGTCAGTGGTTGGCTGGTCATTTAAAAATGCTCAGCCGAGGTTCCAAAAGTCAACACATTTAGATCACCAAACGATATATGGAAGCCAATGAGTGCAATTAAATTTCTCAGGTCACTCCACTAAATGTCTGCCAGCTCGTTAACTCTCTGACGGACACTTTGGCATTTCTGTGAGGAGTTGCTGGTTCCACTTGTGGTAACGTACGCTCCGGTTGCTGCCCTTGTCTGTCCTCTGCACCGCGGGGGTGGCTCCTTCTGAAAAGAGCTGTCATACTCGGGGTGGGGAGGAGGTCTTTATGGCATACAGATTCACAGACTGACACCAGGGAGTTTTGTCTGTTCCTCCTCGCCGTTGCTGCTGCTTCAATCCCTGCAGCTTTTTAATGGGCTTCTGACAGCTTTCACGGGTTCTGTCAAGGTGCAGTCTGTGATAACGCACGCGCACACACACACAGTAAAAAAGCTTATCAAAATACATAAATGTTTTCACTTAAAGCAGAAAAATCTAAATCCTCACATTTGTGCACAGCAAAAAGAAAATACACCTACTCACATACATTACAACCCCTTTTTATGTGGCATGGTACTGAGTGATGCACGGAAGCCCCATGCTATATAATCTCAATTCGAAGTTAAGTATCTGTGCTCTGTCGGGTGACATGGATATTTTAAAACAGCATGTATCCAACTTCTGTGTTCATGTGGTACTGGTGAGACAAGGATTTGTGGTTTGAGTGGGGCCCACAGAAAAATATTGACACACACGGTGCCTGCCAGCTGAGAGTGATCATCAACACCACCCACATAATCACAAGATGGGTTCTCACAGTGTTCCCTCCTACTGCAGTTAAGTTAAGCACTGGGATGCCAGAACAATTTGGCATGGAGGGCCAGAGGCTACAACTAAAGGATTGGGTGTTGGGTTACAAAGCAATATTTCTGGACATTCATTACCAGAGTTAAAACAAGTTGATTAGGTTTAATGTGATTAAATTGCTCATTTTTAGCCACACTAGCAGAGTGTTTTTATGTATCGCAGTGTCAGTCGCTCTACCACTTTGGTTCAGAGTGAAATATTTCAACTTTTAGATGGATTGATTTAGATTTTTTAAAAGACATTCATGGTGCCCATAGGATGATGCTTACTATTTAGTAATCCTTTAGTGCCAATGTGAGGTTGACATTTGCAGTTTTTAAATTAACCTCTATCTAAACTACGGGCTGGATTGCCATGAAATGTCGTATTCATGGACCACACTGGATGACTAATAATACGGTTGGTGAACCCTTAACCTTTCATCATGCGCCATTACATTTAATTTGTCCAATACTTTGGTTTACGACCAAATACCTGCAAAATGAATGACCATTCCCATCAAGCCGCAATTGCACTTTATGTTTCGGACTGCAAAGATGCTAAACTAAGATGGTAGCCATGGCAAATATTATGCTTAAAAAATCTGCATGTTAACATTTTCATCATGAGCATATTAGAGTGCTGATGTTAGCAAAACAATACTGATCCTAAGGACAGCCTTAGTGGCTGTACAATAAAGAAAACAAAAAGTTATGCTTTGAAACTGACGCAAACTTCATCAGAACACCAGGGAAAGTCACAATCTATCTGTGGAGGGCCAATTAGGACTTCGTCTAGACTACCCGAATAGACTATTTATAATAGAGTCCTCGACAATATAGTGTCGGTGACCTTTGCTTCTGCCCTGTAAGAGACAGATAAAACAGGTCGTTCCATCGCACTTTTCATACCGGTCCAGTTAGACTCCATGCCCTCCAGTGTACTCCCTGATTCTTATCCCTCCACTGCAACAGCCATACATGCCATTGCTCCAGAGAGCCCTAACAAAGCTGAAGGAAGTAAGAGACTTCCACATGGAAAAGGCAATTAACAGCTCAATGCCCAAGGGACAGAGTGGGGAAGACAGGGGGGGAGAGAGGCTGTCTAGAGATATAAGAAAGAGAGGAAGGTATGTGGGAGAACAAGAGCAAAACCTGAACAATGTTAGTGTTTCCGACTCAAAGCAGCGGACCAATGAGGGAAAAAAACAGGAAGAATTTGAAAAAGTTGCCACTTTTGATGTTGTTTTTCCAAATGTCCAGAATCAAAAAAAAATCCCAGGGTGCTTATTCCCAAAAATACATTGGAAAAGCATGAAGTAGTCAAAGACAAACAGATGAAAGACAGGGGAAGGAGGAAACGGCAAAAGGGAAATAGGAATAAAGTCAAAGCAAAGGAAGAAGTAACTTGTGTGAGATGGATGGAAGGGTGTGACGGTGGAGAAAAGGGAAGGGAGATACTGGATAGAAGGAGGGTTGTTGTTATCAAAGTGAGATCTGCCAGTCAGTGCCATCTCACTCGACACAGCTGCCACGCTGATTCCATCTCCCATGAAGAGATTAAAACTATTGAAACGAGCACGCTTCGTCTCCTCCCAGACAGACCGACAAAGACAGAGGGAGTAAACTTCCCTCCGAAGTAAAGGAGATGTAGTGATTAGGAAGTGAGGCACATGCCTGGGCCTCTCTTATAGAGTCATCATTTAACGGCCACTCTGCTGACATTTACTTTCAGTGTGTGTAAACCGGGGCCAGGTGTTAGTGAGGGGAAAACATCCCTCTCTGACACCACTTGGCTGACTTATCAATCCTGCCTTGACATGGATAGTCATTCTTTAAATGCAGCCTCTGGCCCGATGCAACACAACAGAAGCCATGACTAGAAGGTGGCGCTGCTTAAAAAGTGTGCCTTGCTTTTCACACCCCTGCTCTTATCTCTGTATTATCGCACACTCTTCTCTCTCTGGGCTCGAATCCAGAAATGTTGCAAACTGCGGGAAAAGGGACTTTACACATCTCTGCTGGCATAAGAGAAGTGAAGCCTTTGGTAAAAAAAAATAAAAAATTGTGGCCAGCCGCAGCCATTACATTATAGTATATGAGTCTGGAGTAGGTTGGCTTGATGAATCTGCTGTCAATGGGATATGATGATTCAGCCGTGCTATTACCATGAGTAATTTCAGCTCAAGGCAAGCCTAGCACTTCCGCTTTATGGTCAGAGAGACAGAGGGAGCTGCTGATGAGGAAACATAAGTTAACGTGGAACGGAATGGGAATGACTTTCAAATCAGAGGCATTTTTAATCAGCTCTTTAGAATTACTGTGCATGGAATGGGTTTGTAAATTGATATTGTGCCGTTGAAGTCAATCGCAATGTCAAGAAACAGGATAATGAACAGAATATGTTGTTGCATGTTGCATCGTTCTGTGTGTCGTAGACCGGCTTTAGTCCAGCCTTGGCTTGGAGGGGAGGTTAATGACCCACGTGATCAATTAAGGCTTTTTCATTTTCCTTCCTATATCCAGGATTTAATGGAGAAAGTTTCCCAGCTCATCAATTTGACATATAACTTGGAAGATGAGAGAGGGAGGAAAAGAAAAGAGAGAATAAGACAAAAGGGGAAAGCTATTTTTCGGCTCTGAGAAAAGGCTACGGCTTTGTCAACCTTTTCCATTAACAGGGAGGAAAACTTGCCATTTGTATCCTTGACCCAGACATAATCAACAGTCCTCACACGGTTCAACACCCCAGCACCGGATGCAGTGATCCCTGCATACTTTAACATTTAAACATACGATACGCAGTGACCTCCTGACAATCCCCCGCCAATCAAGACACGATCAAACAGTACTTGAATGTTTTCCCATTGAGACATCACCTGACGATGTCCACATGATCAAATGCTAAGACGTGAGCTAACAATCCCTGCATGGTTCAAGAGGCCAGGGCAGATTTTATGTGCGAACGGGGATTGCTCTTCTTAATTTATTCCGCCATGAAGACCAATGTGGGGCTCCCGGGCGAGTGAGACGAATAGCAATGACTGTATGGACTGGCGGATAGGAGGAGACCTCACTGCACTGCATTAACTTTAATTATGACTCTCTGGGAGATGCAATTACCCATCTGGGACCAGACTTGCTAAAGCTCCACAACCAGACCATGACCGTCTGGACCATCGTTTGTAACTTTTTCTTGCTTTTTCCCCAATTTTTTTTGTGCATTACTGCAGGCAATATTTCTGAACTGCAATAAACCAGCAGGGGTCTTTGTTATGTCTCATTTAAGCCCCTTTCCTACTCGACAAAAACTCCACTATCACCCACTAATATCTGGCTTTTGTCTTCAGTGTGAAAGGTTACAGTTGGCATTCATTCCCAGGACAAATATCTCTGCAGTGGTCACATGTATTTATCGGCTCAAGCTCAGATCGGGAGTGATGGAAACATGACAGCCGAGTGGACGCGCTCATTTTCGCCCCTTTTCCGGTGCGATGCTACGTGACATGCATTTGGACAATATTCATAACTCCTTCAAGCCACCAGACTCCAGTCAGACAAAGATGCTGATCATCTTAAAAAAAACCGCTTTTAATTCAAACTCGATATGAACAAATTAAAACCCCTCAAAATTGTTAGTCTTTCTACTTTTCCAACAATCACCAACTCTTATTTTAACTTATTTTAACCACAGTAATGTTTCACCGCTTTTGGCGCCTATTTTTAACAGATTTTGCCATGCTTAAAAACTTGCATATATGCACCCATTTTGGTGGAAAAAGAGTATTATTATATTCTGTTTGTCTTTCTCTTTCCCTCAAGGTTTCTGTCCAACACTTCCTTCACCGGAGCCACAGGCCTGATCCAGGTGGATGCTGGCCTGTCTCGGGTCCTCTCCTCCCAGCTGTTCCACGTATGGAGCCTGAAGAGAGGCGCTCTTGGCCAGCCAGCCTGGGTGACTGTAGGCCAGTGGACCAGAGGCAGGCTGGAGCTAGAAGGGGGGATCCTGGGACTGGTGGGAGGGTTCCGGAGCAGCCAGGGACAAGGTCATGGAGCTGGGGTGAGGGGAGGGGACGGCCAGGGGGACAGTAAAGTTGGAGGACGCTGGAGGCCGGGAGAATCCGTTGAGGGACACCGGCTGAGGGTGGTGACACTGGTGGAGCACCCGTTTGTCTTCACACGAGAGGTGGATGCAGATGGATTGTGTCCAGCTGGTCAGCTCTGTCTGAACCCCAGAACCAACCGGTCCGACCTGATCCAGAGCCTCTTCAACCAGCTGCACAACCCAAACACTACATTTGCAGACTGGGAAGGGAATGGTGAGTTTTGTTTTGTCATTTGAGCTTCGAATACTGTGTTGGTGGAGCACTCTAATACTTGTCAAAAATATTTTGACTTGTGGGAAGCATCTGTTCTGAAATATGAAAACTCCAAGCTTCTCTTATGTAAACTGTTAGATCTCTTGGCTTAGATTCCTGTATCGCTGGCCATTTCTCTTCTGCTCCTCTTCAAGATTGAAGTGGATTTTAGAAGTAAAATCTATTAGGGATCATGGCTGGTCAGTCCAGTTCAAAAATATACCAGATGCAATGTCGAGGGCTCATCTCTACAGCTCAGCTACATCTCTGCTTCATGAATAAAGCGGCTTAAAGGCATTAAATCACTGACAGATCAAGACTACCGTGTCGAAGAAATACCAGGTACTATATGCAAGAAGACTATTGGCCACATATAAAGGCAGCTTACTGTATAGCAGTAAAATATAAAGCCTTCTAAATTTCCTTTGACTTTAATCAGCAGATGGCAAATTGAATACAGCTAATAGAAGTTTGTATTGGTGCTTAGGCAGAACTAGCACAGACCTTTGTTGCAAGTTTCAAGAGCAATACTTACATTCTGCAGAATATTGATTGACTGAGTTTGCAAAAAGAAGTTAGCTAGAAAAATCTAAATTGAATCAAGTGTAAAAATGTATATAATAGCCTATCCATCTTGCCAAGTTCAAGGGTTGTTACATTTTTCGAGCCCAGGTTTAGTGTGACTAAATATATTCATAGTCTAGGCTCGAGGGTAATTAAAAACACACAAGCACGCGTGTCCTGTGAGGATCCATGAACATTTTTCCATGATAGTCAACAGCTGCGGGCAAAATCCCAGACGTTCAGCCCCTGCACTTCCAAAGCATACTTATAGATTCATTTCACATTATCATCCCTTTTTTTCTGTCAGACCTACCGGGGGACCTGAGGAAGTGCTGCTACGGGTACTGCGTCGACTTGTTGGAGAAACTGGCAGAGGACATGGGTTTCACCTTTGACCTTTATATCGTGGGAGATGGGAAGTACGGCGCATTTAGCGGGATGGGGCGCTGGACAGGGCTGGTCGGGGACCTGCTGAGTGGAACCGCCGACATGGCTGTGACCTCTTTCTCCATCAACTCTGCCAGGAGCAGAGTCATCGACTTCACCTCGCCCTTCTACTCCACCAGCCTCGGCATTCTGGTACCATTGCTTGAAGTCATCATTAGTTTTTGGGAGTTTTGAGTTTGTGTTTTAATGATTGAAGAAGGCATGGGGCATGTTCTGGTAAATATACTGCATTGTCAGTCAGTGGCAGCGTCTTCAGTACTTTGATTTGTCAGTCTCTCTCTCTCTCTCGCTCTCTCTCTCTCTCTCTCTCTCTTCGACACTATTTCTGTTTGATTTGACGATATGGTCTGCAACTACTTAATTTCACCCTAATGCCCCGCTCAACCGGTCTTCTGGTGAGCAACACAGAGTCATTAGTTGTGAATAATTAGTTTGCTGAATTACGAAAGTTCAAAATGAAAGGCAGTCTAAGAGTGCATAATGAGCCTGAAAGGCGTTTTGAGAAGCTGTCTTAGCAGAGTCCTCAAACATGCTGCAGTTATTCTTTGATTTGTTAACATCTCCCTCTGTGGCTGACAAACTGCAGTGCATAATATGATCTGACAATACGGTTCCAATCTGAAAAAGTGATTTCTTTCCCTTACAAAATGATGGATAGCACAAAATAAAATCAATGTATGCATTTTTTGTAAAAACATTATGCCTAGGAGAACTTTACAGACGAGATCCTACAAACTGGAGGATGAATTATAATCTCAAGTAAAAGCAAAATCCAACACTTTTGCATCGAGAAAGACGTCTTGTTTTCCTTTCTTTTCGACCCACCAGGTTCGTAGCGTGGACACTGCAGCCCCCATCGGAGCCTTCATGTGGCCTCTCCACTGGTCCATGTGGGTGGGTATTTTTGTCACGCTGCATCTCACCGCGCTCTTCCTCACCCTGTACGAGTGGAACAGCCCCTTCGGTATGACACCCCATGGCAGGAACCGGCTGCGTGTGTTCTCCTACTCCTCCGCCCTTAATCTCTGCTACGCCATACTGTTTGGACGGACTGTCGCCACCAAGGTAAAGCAGCTCTCCCCTGTGTGATAAATGGGCATCATGCAGGGTGGGGCCTGAAATAGAAATTGCAGAGAAAGGGGGAGGGGATATACATTATTAGGAGTAAACAACCAGTAAAGAGGAAGTTAGAAGGGAGAAAGCATGGAGAAAGATAATAGAAATGACGAGAGAGGGGAAAAGATTGATAGGGGAGAGGTTAAGACGGTAGGCGGTGATGAAGTAGAGAGGTACAGGGAGGATAATGCACATACAGGGAGGGGAGAGGGGAGAGGGTAAGTGGGCCGACAGAGATTGAAGGAGTTATGGAGAGGATGATGGTGATGGATGAAGGTGGAAAAAGCTGGAGCGAGTAGAGGTTAACTCCCCCAAGTAGTCAGCTGACACAAAGTTTAAATCAAGAAAGAAGGCAGGCGGAAGAGGGCCAGTGGGGGGGGTGTGAGAGTGCAAACTGGGAAATGGGCTTCAAAAAGAAGTTTGACAGAAAGATGGGGTTTAAAGGGTAAGTGGGCGAACAGAGAACAGGATCAGAATGAAGGTGACATGGAGCCGGGCAGACCGAGGATGATGTAAAGGGGAGAGGGCAAGTGGGTGGGCAGAGTTGGAAGGACAGGCGGGTAGTGCGAGAGAGAAATGTGTGAGACAAGTGATCAGCAAATCTGCCCATTTAAAAAAATGTGTAGCAAGCAATGTATTGCCCTTCAAAGATAGAAAATATGAAAAAACTTTCATTTTCATGTAATTTGTTTGGTATAAATACAGAAATAGATTAAATGTTCCCTTGCAGTAACAGCATTCTTCAGATTTGACTGATGGTGTCACACACACAGTCACACTGCCGCACACACCCAACCGCAAGTCGGAAAAAAAAAAAGCGGTCCTATGCATTCTGTTTATTATTAAAACAGCTTCATGCTAAGCCAGAATCCTTCATTATAACTCCTGCTTGCTCTTCAAATTTGTATTCAGCACATTCTGATAAATATCAGAAAATGGAATTTGCTTGAATTATTCCAGTAAATGCTCTTAGTTAGTATGCACACCATCATAACATTTTGTTAATCACACTTTTGTCCCTAGAGGAAGCAGTGCAAATGACTCGGGTGGAACAGAGGCCAAGTGATTAGAGAGGCCTTTCCATATTTGAAAGGTCACTGGTTTGATCCTCACAACTGGCAATGTGTCAATTAACAGGTTGTGTTCTTTAGCAGCCTTGTGACCTGTTAAAATGCCCTTGAGCAACACTCTGAACATCTGTGTGATGGGTCACAGCCAAAAAGTCATGTTTATTTATAGGTATTGGTAAACTGCTAATCATGGCTGGCACATGCGACCAAAATTCTGTCATGCACGACCAAACATTTTTATTGGTCACAGGATTCATTTCAGAAGTGGGAGGGGGGGGGGAACTTGCGCTTTCACTGTGTAGTATTTGCCCTCTGTGTGGATGATGGTCCTTGATGTTAGCAGAGGGATATGTAGCCGCTGTCCTCCTCTGGATTGGATTTGGTTTAATACTTCAGCAAACCCAGCCAACGTTACCTGAAATACTGGTACATTTGCCAAAAGTTAGTTCACATCCTAAAGCGTTTTCTCTTGTGGTGTTAAGTTAATACATACTGTGTGAATAGTATGTAAGTGAAACTGTCAAGTTATGTTTTAACCATAATCATTGATCTTACATTTTTCTTTTCACATGGAGCTTATTTCAGCATGTCATACAGCACTTAGCCATCAAGTGTACAATTAAGAGCTTTCATTTAAAACGGGTCTGCTGGAAACGTTAATCCGGAGACAGTGTCGTCAATCATTTCTTGAAGCTAACGTTAGCTTAATGAGCTAGCTAGCTGCTGCTGATTAAATCTGCCAGTGACAGGTGTCATGTCAGCTGGCAAAAAATTGACAGAGGCCAGAAATGACATGCCTGTTTTTATCTAGCCTGATCATTATATCCTTTACTAAGCACCAGTGCAAAAAAAAAGAATTTACTTTGGTCATTTTTCAAACACACAACACTGCTGACAGTGTGCATGCCAGCCTCCCTTTCTCCCCTTTCAGTTTGGTAACTAATTATGCAAAGAGTTGAAAACATACCGAAACTTTTCGTAATAATGGGTTACAACCTGTTTGTATAATTAATGTCTCATTAATCCCAAGCTTTTACAACACTAGCAATTCATCTCTTTTCTTCAGTTAAGTGGGTTTTAATTGGTGGAATAAATAAATGATCACAGTGTGCAGGTGGAATCATTCCCCTAGGCAGGCAATTTCAGGGAAAGATATTTCTGATGTGCCTCAAAAACAGTCATGCTATGTTAGATTTTCTCCTCTGTATTAGCTTCTCTCCTGGTCTGTTTTGATTAACTTGATTACCCTTACTCGGGGTTACATTGTGATTTTTAAGGAGGATGAAAGTGAGAGAAAGGTGGGTTGAGAGCCTCGGGAGTGCTCTGCATTTATGTCAACACCTGAATGCACCTTTCCTAACACACTTATATTTTTAATCGTTTCAACCCAGGTAGTTTTCTCAAAGTTCTTTGTTGTCAAGTCTGTTTAATTTTTGTCTTGACATGGTGACATTTTTCAGTTTTGAGTCCAGATATATTTAGGATTCACATTTCATCAAGAGCTGCTATTGTTTTCTCTTTTCGATCTGTGTAATTATTTTTAATAATACGACGAAAAGCAAAACAAACCCAAACAGAAAAATCTCCACTCTGCAGACTCCTAAATGCTGGACCGGACGTTTTCTGATGAACCTCTGGGCCATCTTCTGCTTGCTGGTGCTGTCGAGCTACACCGCCAACCTAGCTGCTGTCATGGTCGGGGAGAAGACCTTCGAGCAGGTCTCGGGAATTCATGACGACAAGGTTAGACTACACAAGGACACAAAACTTGCATCTGCATGCATGTCAGTCCCCCCCCCCACACACACACACACACACAAAGACCCACAGCTACATGTACACACAACCTAATCTTACACAAGGACAAGTTAATGAGTATAGAGTGGAATTATTATTTGAGGATTATTCCATATCCTTAAATGCTGTGGGGCTACAGTGAATTTGATATCAACCCCGTAATGATGTCTATACCCTCCTCTCTCTCTCTCTCTCTCTCTCTCTCTCTCTCTCTCTCTCTCTCTCTCTTTATCACCACTATATCCACCCTCTCTTCTAACCATGTCTTCCTGTGTTATTTCCTCAGCTGCACCATCCATCACTGGGCTTCCGTTTTGGGACGGTGAGGGAGAGCAGCGCTGAGGATTACATGAAAAAGAGCTTCCCGGAGATGCACGACTACATGAGACGCTTCAATCAGCCCACCACCCCGGAAGGCGTACATATGTTGAAGTAAGACACAAACACACATGCATGCACATGGTGTGCATTTGTAAAAAAAAAAAAAAAAAAAAACTCAATTTAAACCTCATTAAAATGCAACCCAGACTTAAACAATCCAGTCACGTTTACATCTCTTATCTGTGGTTGTCTGTATTCGGTGCACTTATTTTTCATGCTCACTGTGCATCACAATTCTCTCTACTGGCAACAAGAGCAAACGTGGCAGATTTAAAGCCATTAGAGGCGATTTTTATACAGAAGCTAGTGTGAAAATCCTGAAATAGAATTCTCTTGTGCTGTTTCTCCAATATCCTACAGTTAATAGTTACTGCAGTTGACGATGTTACCTGGAGACATTCTGGAGTTCATCCATATTATCTGAATCTCCAGTTGCACACCCTTCCATTAGTTTTGAATCTGATATTTTAATCAAAACTTCTACAAGCCCACAAATCAAAAGTCAAGGTACCATCTCCAAAAATGTGTCATCCTACAACATCATCAATTCAGATTTTGGATGCTCTGATTTGCAGCTCAGGGAGGCTGTTTTTAATGTTTGTACCCACTGACGTTTCTGTCAAACATCAATGAAATAACTCAGTGTAGCTCAATGTGATTTGTGTTTCAGGGTTGAATTTTCCTTTGATTTTTTTCCACCTGCGTTAATGTGTCAAACCCATCGGGGGATGTTTTCTTATTATAGTGAACACGTTGTTTGCGTTTTGCATCTGACAGAGATACCATCACAGACTCATCACTTTGAGTGCTGCATGTCTTTACACTCTGCATTAGTATAAGCTTCTCCTCATCCAGATTCACTACATTTTAGCACAAGGTTTAAGTGAGGTGAAAGCCTATGAAATACATTAAAAAAGCCTCCCACATTTGAGGGAATTATGTTTTTGTTCATTAAAAGTGTTGAATGGGGGCAAGGGACAAATTAAGGAAATGAGGGCTGAGGATGAATGGATGATTCGGGTGTCCAATGGGGGCCGTGAGAATATGAAAGCAGGAAGGCAAGGCAGGTACATGTATACAACACAATTAATTCACAAAAGCACTTTAAAGTACTTTACATAATTCATTAAAATATGAATACAAAACACAAATTGAAGGGACTGGAACAGTTTTTAAAGAAATTTAAAAAAATCTGAAATTATTACCAACTAGTTCAGAATGTCAAAGAGCATTTAAGTTTCAACGGTAGTGGAGAAAAGAAATGTTTGAATCTGATTTTAAAGGGTAGTTCAAGTTAGGGCAAGTCTTATATCTTCTGGAAGTTTTCTCCAACACTTTGGAGGACTAAATAATGCCTCCTCCTTAGTTCTGACTCTGTGAATGAATAGCAGACTGCTTCCAGATGATCTGAGAGACTAAGAAGCTCATGTTTAGGAACACGGGGCAGAGAGATTTGGGATGGGGTTAACCAGTTCTTTTACTATGTCATATACGTACATGCACACAAGTATTCATACCTGTTTAAAGACCATTACAACAGTCCGATAATGAGGAAATAAAAGAATGATTCATAGTTTGAGTGTTCTATCCGTGGTTCTATCGTAGCAATATTCCTCAGATGGTAGTAGCAGGACTGGATGACCTTGTTAGTGTGTTTCTCAAAAGTGAGATTATTGTCAAAGAGCACTCCCAGGTTCCTGACATTTTGTTAATTAAACACCAAGAGGGGACTAGATATTTGGATGCAGATTGTCAGGACCAATAATAGAGTTTAATTAAAGAAAATGTATCTGCTAGACGTGACTGGAGAGGTTTATAGTCTCTGTAGGCTCTGGAGGAGATACAGCTGTGTCATCAGCGTAGCAGTGGAATCAAATTTTATGTCTATGTACAATGTGGCCAAGTTGCTGCATTTTGATGGATTGAGGTCAGATTTATTAATGAGTGGCTGCACACAGGCACTCTTCAAATATTCTGGGATGCAGCCAAAGGATAAAGAACTGAATTATTGAGAGCAACCAAGGGGCAGTAACATCTATTTACTTCACACAGAAATTTAGGAGGCATTACACTTACGGGCTTGGGAAGCATTTAAGGTGTGCCACGGTGATGATGAGTTGATTTAAAGTTGGTGCAGGTAGAATAAATAAAAGAATCAGGAGCCACACTTTGTTATATTGTAAGATACAAATTTAAGTCATTCCTCACTAGATGACTTTGACTGATAAAACGTGCAGGATTAAAAAGACTGCCGACGGTGTTAAAACGCGCTCCCCGGCTATGGTTATTAGTATGAATTAAAACAGAGAAATAGTTGGCCATACATTCCGAACCTGTTCGTTAAATCAAATCATCAGCTCTTTCGTTTGTTGACAATGTACCTGAAGCGGCATCTTCCTCCACCTCCATTTCCACCCTTCTACATTCTCCTTTATGAGTCTGAATGTCATTAATCATCCAGGGTTTCAATCCTATTCTACGTTTAATTCTTGTCTTAAAAGGTGCCAAAGATTTTCAAGAGAATGTACAAAGGAGGTTCAAGTCATTCATCAGCTTCTCTGTCTGAGGAATTGGGTATATTATTTCTGGCTTAAAAATGTAGTTAGTTTCCTCGTTTAAAGTGCTTGTTGTTTGAGTCTTTTTTACCATTTTGCCAACTTAATTTTAAAAACAAGTACCTCAAAACTATAGACATTGATCAGCTTAAAGGCATAGTTGGGATTATTTGAAGTGGGGTTGTATCTATGTTGGTGTACTACCTACCGTGGATGGCAGCCAGACGCCCCCAGTTTGGGAAAAATAGACAGGAGCACCAACATGGAAGCAAAGCAATGTGCTGCTGTGGATGGGAGCAGCAGCTAAACGTATTTAGCAACCTAAAAGAAAGTCTAACCTAAAAAAAATCTATGTCAATATAGGGATAATGTCAAATCTTTATCTGTAAAGTAACTAATAAGCACAGCTGTCAAATATAATAACCACAGCTGTCAAATAAATGTAAAGGATTAAAAACTACGATATTTTCCTCTAATATGTGTTGTAGTAGAAGTATAAAGTATCATGAAATGGATAATACTCAAGTTAAGTACTTCAGTACCTCAGATATGTACTTGGGTGCAGCACTTGATTAAATGTAATAAGTTACATTCCGCCACTGGAATTCTACTAGAAGGACAAAAATGTGTTCATCCGGGCTCACAAAAGTACCGCACACGGCAAACACACTCACAGCTATAACAACGCACGTTTCTCAGACACAGTGCCTACTGAATAGAGCACCAGCAGAGATGCTGAGATAGTGCATGTGCTGACTTTGTGATACAAGGGGGAAGATACAAAGTGCTTGTTCAGAGAAAGAGGATGAGAATAGGGAAGATGAAGGCTGCGTTTGTTGGCGTATGAGGTGAAGCAGAAGTGGAAGTTGCAGCAGTGCAGGCAGCCAGAGTGAGGCAGTAAAATACTATGTTGGCAGAACTACTGACCCCAATACTGCCCTCAAATCTTATGGTGAAAAAAAAAACCTGAAAAGCCTTCTCCTGGAGAGACAGAATGCCTCAGGTAACACATGGCAGCTGCCAATGAACACAAATGTTTTGGCTCAGGGGAAGTAATGCAGGCACAAACCTACACACAGGTTTATAACTTACAGTCGTACCGACACACCGTCATGCCTATACACGTGCACGCTCACACACACACACTCCAGTTTTATCCTTTGGCCCAGCATCGGATAACTTCCAACCCTCTTTAGTCCCAAAAGAGTCCCAAAAGAAGTCTATCCTCTCTCTTCTCCCTGTGCCTTGTATTTGACAGGCCTAGACAGAGAAAAAGAGATGTTTGTGCTTCCCCGGCACAGCAAAGACTTTGTAAAGTTAACCTTTTGTAGAGCAGTAAACATCCTGAAAAACAAGAAGTTTCAGGTAATTTGATCAGTCTGCTCTATTTTTTTCCAATAGACTGTCTGTGTGTGTGTGCATGCTTTTTCCAATACAAGCATTTATGCTTGTTTATCCGTCTGCCTATTTTGTGTGCTCACAAATATGTTTGTGCAATTTGTGCATACATCGGGATGTGTGTGTGTGTGTGTGTGTGTGTGTCAGGAAAAGTGTACCTTTTCTTCTTTATCAATGTGTTTGTGTGTAGGTTTATTATTCAAATCCAGTGTTGTGCTGTGAAACTTATCTCTCGTCAGCGGCAGAGGCTGCTCACAGACGAATGCTCTATAATTAGGGGTCAATTAGGGTCAATTAGATCGATATTGCCGGATGAGAAGAGTCTTCAACAGTGTTTTATAATGCCTTATCAGTCGGCCACAGAGGCTGTTGTTTGTAATGATGTATGTGTTTACACAGCGTATTAGAATGCAGTTAATCTCATCCTCCTGTATAAATGACAAAACAGACCCAAATACAGGGTTCGTGCATGGGTCTGGGGAATTTGAGGATGTTTGGAAAGTTAATCTGATTAAAAGGTCTTCAAAAGTTTAATTTTAGTTATCTTCAATTAATGCTTTGCTCTCACTCCTGTGTACTGTGTTTGTGTGTTGGTGGTGAAGGACAGATCCTCCTGCCCTGGATGCGTTCATCATGGACAAAGCCCTGTTGGACTTTGAGGTCTCTATCGACGCAGAGTGCAAACTGCTCACTGTGGGGAAGCCTTTCGCCATTGAAGGTGCGCACGCTGGCTAACACACACAAAGACACACGTGTTGATATTACTTGTGAGGATTTGCTGTCATTCCCTTACCAAATCTTACCAAAAACTTTTCCTAATCTTACGACATTTTGTATTCTTGTTTTCATACACTGTCCAGCCTGTGTCTTTATTTCCTCTTATTGTTGGAATGCTGATTCAGCATTCAACATACAACAGTATTAAAAAAAACTATCCTCCGAGAAGTTAAAATATATGAAATAGAACAATACAGTGGTATATACTTTAATTAAGATTCACTATAACGTTAAAAGATACAACGGTCTTTTGTTTTCACACTTTTATAAAGTTCAAAATCTGCCCATAGACTAATGCCTTGTTTACACAAAACACGTTTGAAATTTTTTGCGTGAGTAGATTACATGCAAAGTCAATGCACAGACGCGAATAGATGCGATAATTTAATTTAACCCCCACACATATATACATACATACACACCTGTGCATGCACTCGCACAGTAGAAGTGCTGTACCATGAAATGTTTCATGCAACATGTATAGGATATACACATTAAAGCATGGACATCTACATCACACAAATGTGTACACACACACACATAAAGAAACATACAGTACGCACTCACTCACTCACTCACACACACACACACACATGCAGAAAGGGGATCAAATACTGTTAGCTACATGATTGACAGAATAACACAGTGATTCACTGGATGAACTTACAACGCTGCAGGTAAAAGTACTCAATCATGAATTATTAACAACAATGCCCAGAGAACTTTGGAATCACCGTTTGTAGGTCAAATTAAATGCAGTATAGTCATGAAGCATTTACACAGATCCACTGCCAATCAGAAAACGGCTAATGATCCACTAAGGGAGTTATTGTATGCAAGTTTTCATACATCTCTACACGAATAAGGAAGCTTATGCCGGTTTGTATATATGTGTGTGAGAGCACCGATGGTTGCATTCTGTGTTCTCGTGCTATCCTTGAAGGAAATCGTTTTCCTTTTTAGAATTACAGTGGGGGGGGGGACATTTTTTTGAAAGCAAAGTTATTGCTTCTATACTTCTTCCTCTATCTGAAGAAGAAATCACCATATGAACCGTGGCAAGCGAGGAAAAAAGAAAAGCCACAAAATAGAGACAAGAAGCTTGCAAAAAACATTTTACCCTGCCGCCGTGTTTTCACGTTAAAACTAGAAAAGTATAAATTCTTACATTATGAATAGCTGTGAAAGAAGTTCTAAAATATTACCAAAATATATTGTCTGCATGTAGTGGAACATGCTGACCCGTATGTGCTGGCTTCGGTTACGATATCCTGCAAGCGCTGACATGAAATCCTTCTCTTACTCGACAAACATAACTAAAACTTGCATCACTGCAGCATTGCTTTGTTAGTCAGTAAGTCAATAAGGTTTTATTTCGTTCTGTTTTGAGCTATGGATGCATTTGGTTACAAGACTGATTACAAATGTGTTCAGTAGCTAATGATAAATTACCAGTAATATATTTTGTTTTTGCTCAAGTAGTTAATCGCTTTGCACAACCATTAAAGCCAGATGTATTATTATGACTAGTAGCAGCAGTAATTACAGCAGTAATATTAGTATCGGAGAAGTAGGTTCCTGGATGCTATGAATACATATGAGCAGTGGGATTTTTTTTTGGCAGAACAAGAGTAAGTTGTATCACTTTTACAAATAAAGGCTGCTGACGACCTGTCATAAGCAATTATGTCTTAGCTCCCTCCCATTGAGGAAAATAAAGGTTCCGGCCGTTATTGCCAGTTTTATTGTATTCTCGTCACATGTCATCTACGCCAATCCGAAGGTGACTTTGAAATGAAATTTCCGCTGGCAGAACACATTTATTGAATGTAACAAGCATTTAACCTCTAACCCAAACCCAGCCCTGGGACTGGAAGGTTTTTTACTGGTATAGAATTAGTGTGTGCACTTCCGTGTGTCTATATTTCAGTTCAGCCTTTTCTTTTCCCCTCCCACTTCTGAGACAGATACAGACAGTAAATAGATACTAGTAAGGGTGCCACATGGGACCAAACACTAACTTTGATTCCCTGTCTCTGTCAGTCAAAGCGTAGCCTCAGAAAGACCCCACTCCCACATTCCCTACTCACTGTACTACTCTTGTTCGCTGGAGATTATCTACTGCTTTCTTCACTGCAAAAGACAAAATGAGCCGAGAGACATCGCCGCAGCATTACTCTTGATTGTGAGGATGAGAAAGCAGGTCTCATTGGTATGTGTAGTGGGTCAGTGACAATGACTACCTGATTCATTGTCTACATGAAAAAGGCAGTTGAAGAATCCAAGATGCTTTCGGTAGCTATTCACCCCCACAGCCTGTGTGAGGAAGAATGAAATGGGAATGAATAACTCAATAAGTCTGAATGGTAAAAGCGAAGAAAGACCAGGAAATGGCCCAGACAGGAAATGTGCGAGAGGAAAAACACAGGAGGAGGAGAGGAGATGGGGAAGAGAAAAAAAAAGAGAGAACACAAGATGGAAAAAGTAAGAGGAAGCACAACAAAGGTAAAGAAAGGGAGGGCCAGTGAGGGGGTGTGAGCGAGGTGGGAGTTGAGCACAAGAAGGAGATAGAGGGCTTTCATTTGCCCACTGCCAGTTTGCGCCTTTCTGCACAGCGAGTGATAAAAGAGCCAGCCAACAGAGTCCCCTAATCAAGACAAACCTTCACCCCAAGCAGATGGAGTGAGGGAGTGGAGGAAAGGACAGAGAGAGAGAGAGAGAGAGAGAGAGAGAGAGAGAGAGAGAGAGAGAGGGAAAGGATGAAGGGGGAAAAAAAAGAGAGGAAGTGTTATTTGGTACATATGGGGATAGAGGCAGGATTTATGGAGTGGTTTGTGGTCAGGACATACAGGGAGACAGAGGATTTAGGACTGTGGAGACGCTGCAGGCGAGGTGCTTCTGCTGAAATCTTCAGGCTACTTAAGTGGAGAGAGATGCGGTGGTGTCGCTGTGTGTCTGTTTGCACTGAGTGCTGTTAGGAGATGTTTACGACAGCCCAGGCACACCCCATTAATAATATTGCCACTGAACACGCAGCCACTCGCTGTTTGTTTGTATACGTGTGTCTCTGTATGTGTGTGTGTGTGTGTCTGTGTGCATAAATGATCTGCACAAGCTCAGTCAAGCACGACAGAGCGCGTCTGAAGATCAAAATGAGGCTGGCAGAAGAGTTTGTTGCCGGGGTGAGGCTGTTGTTGGTCAGTGACGTACGGACTCCTTTGTCTGCTTAGTTGTGTGTGTGTGTGTGTGTGTGTGTGTGTGTGTGTGTGTGTGTGTGTGTGTGTGTGTGTGTGTGTGTGTGTGTGAAGAGTTGAATTCCAAAGTAGATAAACTCCCTCACTGAACTCACTGTAAAAAGTATGTAATACTTTATAAGTTAATATAATCTCCCAATCTTCCTAATTGTGGTTATGTGGTACATTTTTCTGTATTAAGAAATAGTTGGCTGCATATCTTTTGGTTTTAGATTGTTGGTAGGACAAAAGCAATGTGAAGATGTCACCTAGTGCTGGACATTATACCAAATGTATTGAATTACAGATATTATGAATCTCTTACCAACCTAATTTCATCATATTACAATGTTTAATAAATGTCTGCTGACAGCTGCTGATGGCTACAACAACAAATCAGCCACATGCTCGCTATCTTTTATGGTTCATGCTGTAATTAAACAGGACAAATGCATCAGAGAGAAGAAGAATTCTTACATTTGTAATTTGAAAATAATCTGTTGATTCATCTTCATATGATATTTGGTTATATCCTCCAACCCTAACATATACAGTACTATATAAAACCGCTCAATCACTGATTTCATCATTATAGTCGAGCAGGAGAACTAGTTTCCCATGCAGCTGCAAAAAAAAACAGGTGACAAAAAAATGCCATGCAAGTACATGGGAACCTACTTTTACAGCGTTTAGCAGCAATTAATGAATGACCAAAGAAATGTTACATATAGACAGTCAAACATTATTAAAAGAAAGAGTTAACAAATACTTGCCAGTGTTTTAAATTATGAAATTATCTTTTAGAACTACAGCACAAATCAATAAAGAAAGTGGTGCTTAGGAGCAAAGATGTCATAAAAAGTAGTCTCACAAATCATTTTAAAGTTCTGAAAGATCATAACTTCTTTGCTTAGTAAAGTGATCTGTGCTTCAAAATAAGGTAGTAAATGTTTTATAGCCTATAAAAAGTGTTTTGGAATAAAACTTGATGTGCTCGGTGTGTCTGTGAGCGAGAGAGTAGGTGTGTGGAGGATTTCAGCGACAGCTTTGGGACTTGTGATGGATGCAGGTGGATGTCTGGGGGAAAGAATCAAAACAAATGACAAGTGGCTGCCCACTTGTATTTGATTGAGTGCTCCGAAGAAATGCGTATGGAGATAGGCTGATGACAGAAAAATGGTGTCTGTCTGGAGAAGAGGAAAAAAAACAAAAAAGGACGTACGCAGACAAAGCAATGGCCTCCGGAGAGGAGCCGAAAGATAAAGACAAGAATGGAGTGAGGCAGAAATTGAACGAAATTGAAGGGATGATAGAGATAAGGAGTGGACTAACAGAGGAAGAGGCGAGCGGCAATGGTGGGAGAGAAATGATCTCGGGCAGGAACACAGGAGGGATGAGAGGGACAACAGAGGAAGAAAATGAGGAGAGGAGGTAAAGGAGGGTGAAAGCAAAAGGGAGGGAAGCTTAGACAGTCTTTGTCATGTAGGAAGCAGAGTGTGACAGTTACGTGAACCTTAGCTATTCTCTGTTTCTGCGCAACCCCCGTCAGGCTCACACACCTTGACAGCCAACACACACACACACACACAAACTCAATCAAAAACAGCTGCCAACTCCGCGACAATCATGCACGCACGCACCAAAACGCTGTTGGCATGACTGTGCCCTGCACTGCAGTACAGATGGAATGAAACAAACAACCCCAGGAGGTCTCGTGTATTGCAATAAATCTCCAAGAGGGTCTTTTTGATTCTAAGCTGAGGGGTATATTTCTATCATTTTGCACCTGCTGGAATGTGCACTAAACAAAGCGAAACAGGCATTTAAGCAACGTTTCTCACAGGCTTTCAAGTTGCAATAATCCATGAGGGTGCCACTTTTGAAATTAAAGCAATGAGCAGCGGTGGGGAAAGTACTTAAATCTGTTGCTTAATTAATAATATTGTAGTTCTATCCTTTTTATTGGTATAAAAATGTATTTGTTTTTGCTGTCTGGTCTCAATTCTCCCCATACTGCCGGTGTTTTATCTTTAACAACAGGGAAATAAGGAAGTCCGAGGCAATACCAATCAAGTGATGCTTCAGCAATTTCTTCAAATCAAGCAGAGATTCATATTTAATGTACTATAACAATGATTTGCATTAGCGCATAATTAAAATGTCTTTGAAGCCATTAAATCCCGATCTGGGACAGCGGCAGGTTTATACTCTTAATTGCATTTTATTTCATGTAAACAAACTGTGCAAAGTAATCAATAACTGCAGCTGTCAATTACATGGATGAATGGTATAATATGGTCCTCTGGTATTTGAAAGAAAGCCTCGCAACACTTTGTACTCAAATATTGTGCTTCACCATGCCTGTTATCAACATAAATGTAAACTAAACTACTGTAAAGCTAGTATCAATGTGTTGTATTGTTACACATCCTGTCAGGAAACAGCAGCAACATTCAATAAAAATCAGAGGAACAAAAAAAAAAAAAAAAAAGATCCACAAAAGCACTCTAATGTCAGCATGCTATTAAGTTCTCCTGCAAATGTGGTGAAACTGACCTTTATTTGACCTTTGTAGAAAACTGAGTCTTGTATCTGTAACCGGAGGGGATGGTTGTGAAGTGAGCGTGGAGTGGATGATCTGCGTCATAGACCGCGATAAGTGTTTTGCAGCTGACGGCTGTGGTGATGAGGTCAGGGTACAGGTGAGAGGTAGGAGGTCCGAGTATTTTTTTGAAAATGTGTGGGTGATTTTTATGGAAACTGCAGGCGTGATGACAAAACCGATTCCAAAGCTGGAGACCTATGGAGACTTTTAACGCATGCGCATTTTTATGTGTTTTTTTATCCTCAAAGTATGTAATAAAACTGCCAGTAAAAGTAGAACATATTTTCTATATCTTTCATATGTTGATGCCTGAACTAGTATGAAGTGTCATATACCTCTAAACATTATCCAGGCGGGTTTCAGTAGACCCTGACGTAAAGCACTAATGGAAATGTAGTCAACTAACAAATTAAAAACTACCAATCACACAGGAAAGATAAAAAAAAAAAAAAAAAGTGATTACATGAAAGGGGGTGAATGCGAGATTGGGAGCATTTCTATTGTCTCTCGGCGGCTCTCAACATGGCATCAGCTGAGCCGGCGGCTCGCCACAAGCAGTGCTAACAGCGCCAACAGTACAAACTAGAGCTGTCAGAGCTGACAGAGCTAACAGTGTTTACCGGAGGGGGAACCGGAGGGTGGGTGCTACGCTTACGCGGCATTATCAGCTGTATGAGCGCAGTGCAGAGTAGCGGATGTGAGCTAAACATGCACTAACATGCACTAAAAAGCATGCATGGCAGAGAAGCTCTGATTACACGCAGAGGGAGAGCAACTTCATTCTTTTCTCAGGTAGACATTACTCCACTAAATCTTTATTAATGCTCTGAATCCCACATAGGGTGACGAAGGAATGGAGTATGGCGCACAGGTGAGAAAAGAGGAATTTAAGGAAACAAAATTGAAATGTTACCGAACATAAAAGACAGAACTGTCTAGATTTTGAATCACTTTTTATAACACATGGCGGCGCTGAACCAACTCCTCTCACAAAGTGTTTTCATTTACACAAGTAATTTATGCTACGCTAATAAATCACCTCAGGGTGACCACAGCCACGCGAGTGCATAACCCTAAGGGAACACAACATAAGTCTGGAGTCTAGGGGGGGGGGGGGGGTGTTGTCCAACCTGATCCAACTACAACCCCGTAGACAACGTGATATCAGCCCAAGAATCTGAAAGCTGCTGAGAAATGGGAGTGAGCATCGGGCACGGCAATTTGTCATTTTATCTTTTGAAGTGTTGCATAGTGTAGGACAACTCTGATCCAAGTCTCTGATTCCCCACAAGGCTCTGACAGAATACTGGTAGTTTGACAAGGTCTACAGTATGCGCCGCAATGCTTCACATGCCTCAGATGTTGACATTGATTTCAGAAGTCTATCTCCATCCCGGACATGCACCTAATCCATCTTTTCCTTCCCCCGATACCAATTCCAATACCTCAACTCAAGGTACCGATCAGATACCAGTGCTCTCTTTTTAACAGCTTTGAGTCATCTTTTGGACTCATTTTTATAGAAGGTAACATGAGGTCAGGGAACTGAAAGTGACTAAATGGATCTGATAGTGTAAACAATGTTTATAACGACACTGACAGAGACACTGTATTTAATGTGGACCCATCTGGCTAATACCTGATCCACTTAATGCATCCCCTTTGCGGGCCTTGCGAATCATAAAAGACAGCAGGGTGTCCTCTAGTCTCATCCTGGCAGTAAATGTTCTGACGATTTTGTTGTGAGGAGCCTCTCAAGCTGTAAGTATTGAAAGTGATAAAGGGAGGAAATAACAGCTCAATACCAGAATTTGATCCACTACAATATGTACTCCTGTGCCACAAGGGAAACCTCCATCAGCTTTAGTGGTTTTGTGCTTTGTTTCCCAACACAAATACTACACCCAGCAAATAGTATTTGCACTGTATATTATGCACTGCACCTGGCAGAAAAAGTGTTGATTCTGATTGCTTCTGAAGCCTGTAAACCCATAAGTCTCCTTTTTCCAGAGGGCATCTGCCCTTTGGCTAACAGCACCTGGCTGACTGTGGTTCCTTACGCATATAAACCGAGTTAGTTTCAAGTCTCTTCCTCAGGCACGGCTCTCAGATTCTCTTGCATGTGGCATATGTATTTACGCCTGTGTGTGTGTATGTGTGTGTGTGTGTGTCTCCTCTTTTTAGGCTACGGGATAGGCCTGCCCCAGGGCTCTCCTCTAACCCGTAATGTGTCAGAGTTCGTGAGTCGCTACAAGTCTGATGGCTTCATGGACATGCTACATGACAAATGGTATAAGGTTGTGCCCTGCGGGAAGCGAGTCTTTGCCGTCACTGAGGTAAGTCAATGGTGAGAGAGGGTTGTTAGTGTATTTTGTACGTGTATGGTGTGTAAAGCAAAGCTTTCTGCCACTGCACTCCTGCGAATGAGTCTCCCTTTGGGACACGGGACAGGATTGCCTGCCAGCTAAGCACACATGCGTCGACGCGTATACATACGCAAGCGGACAGACATACAAACGCATGAACGCGGGCCTGTTTGCTGACTTTAACCAGAGTTACAGGCACTTACTGTCTGAGTGTCCATACTTATTTGTGTCTTACAGCAGAGAACTCTCAGTTCTCGCCCTCCCTCTCTTTTTAGAGAGCTGGGGATCTCTAGACGGAGCACACTGTCTGTGTCTATATCTCTTGTTTGTCAATAGACAAGCCATTCAACTCCCCTTGGCCGTCCCTTTTAAAACCCACTGCAAAGTTAAATCACACTCCAGCAATAAACAATATTAAACATTGGTGTCTACAGTGAAATAAAAACCCTTAACTTCAACCTGCATTAGGAAGTTATTACTATTCATCCCATTTGAAGCCCCGAGAGTGGGCTGCTCTCAAACAATGTGGGCGATCTTGCCCTCTGGATTGGGAGCAAAAGGAGGTCAGTGTTGTCGCTGATGGATTTGCCGAGTCAGCATGGGGCTAATTGCCATCGGAGGCAATGCCGAAATGAGCCGGGTGAAGGAAACATGATTAGAGAGTATTGGAAAAGCTCGCCACTGTCTCTTCCACTTCCTCCAGGCCCGTGAAAGCCTCATAAGAGATAGACATTATGTCAAAGGGAATGTGGGTGACACCAAATGGGAACAAACTGCTCTTCAATTAACCATCCTCTCTTTTTACCGTCGCCCCTCTAACTGCTGTTTCTTTCAATTACTCTCAGTTTTGCTTCCCCCCCAGCTCCCAATGCTTTTCATTCCTCCGCATCCTTTTCTTTTCCAAATATGTCTTTTAACGGCGTTGCCCTCTCCTCTTTATTTTCTATTATTGTGTGCTTTCACAGGCAAACCAGATATACAGCAGCAGAATATCAATTGCATGTTCACAAAAAGTGGCCTAAATGGCAATTATGTAAATACGAACCATCAATCCCTGTATTTCTCTCTGTCGGCTTGAGACTTTACTAATCAGTGTCTCTCCCCCAAACCCCTCTTTCTCTCTTTTCTCTCTCTTTTCCATCAGACTCTTCAGATGGGGATCCAGCATTTTTCAGGCCTATTTGTGCTGCTGTGTATGGGGGTGTGTGGAGCCTTGCTGACCTTGGCAGGTGAACACACCTTCTATCACCTGGTCATCCCTTGGCTCCGACGCACGCACACACTGCAGTACTGGCTGCACACCAGCCAGGTGAGTGAAACCGCACTGCAAGGGACACGTGCACATGCTCTCAGGCACTTGCTCTCGTGTGCTCAAGCACACAACAGAAAGGATGCACAACAGCAGTCTTCAGGTCACATGAGAGCAGTCATACACACACACACACACACACACACACACACACACACACACACACTAGCATACTGCTGTTGGTGAGACTTCCTAACCCCCTGGAGTTAACTCTCATCTTGTAGGTAACCTGCGCCCTCTACTGTTGGAAACTAACATTCAAGAACAAGACTCATATTTTACTTAAAACCTCATCATATCATGTTTCGTAGGACAGATTTCAATTTCAAAGTTTTGAAACTTTAAGCTAAATGTTTCGCTAATAAGCCCTTTGTTAATTAACTAATTCGTTTTTTAATTGTGCTTTATAACGTTACCTTAATACTTTAAATTAATGAGTTAATTAAGTTCAAGGTTATTAAACTGTTACCATTTGCAGCGCTATATTGATTGTTTTTTTCTATTGTGAGGCAATTGATATGTAAATATATGTCACATGTATCTAAATTTAAGATATTAAATATATTTAATATTAAATATGTTTAAATATCTTTTAAATCAACCTTCTTAGACAAATTATTGTATTTTATCACTTTTTACTGCATGCAACATACTTTAAAATATACCTTATTTAACATGCAATTCAAATGTGTAGTTTTGTAAAGAAAAGGATACAAAGAAAAAGAATAATAAGAGATCTAGAAGATCTTTTTTGCAATAAAGCTGTTTGACAATTTGTGCCTTTATGACAATGTGCACCACGAGAGACACAAATTGGGGATTTAAAGGTCATATTTAGTTTTTTTACGAAAGTCTAGCCGTTACCAAATGAGGTGCCCGTGGCGATATTTATGAGTGAATAATGGATCTCAAGACTGCTGTTTGTTACAGCCCTCTAAAAGGGCAACCACTCCTGGGCAGCCGTTAGCATTCATCACAACCCAGCTCGGTTATCTGAGAGGATAACATCTGAGTCTAGTCCTTCAGGATAATCCTTACCTAAAGTCAGAGGCTCTCGTTCCCTCCGATATCTTCAGGCGAATATATATCAGGAAGAAAGAATTAAAGCAGAGTCATCCCTTCTACCTTAAGAGGTTGGTTGGGAGTCTAACCAAAGCACTTGGGTACGTAAATCAAAAAAGGCTTTACTGATGCCTTAACCTCTCTCAGAGTTTTAAGCATAAAAGCGCTGTCTCTCACTGAATTTACAATCATTTAATTAAATTATTCAGAGCAGCACCACAGCAGGATATGCGAGGAATAACTGTCACTGATGTTCTGTACAATTGGGTGGAATAATGATAATCTCAGAAATTCAAATGCGTCGTTTCTCCCGGCTTATTTGAGAGCTGGAGCTGATGAAGTGATAACATATTTCACATTAATAGTCGGTAGTTCTCTTTTATATTTGTTTCTTTTTCTTCTCTACTTGCAGAAAATTCACAGAGCCCTCCACACCACATATGAGGATGATGGGAAGGAGCTGACCGACCTCGACCAAAAGTAATGAAGTCACTGACTGACTTCATCTATACACTTGATTGTCACCTTCCATTTGAAACACCCAGAATAAGTTATACACAAAGTTGTTTCAAGACTTTTATAGGATCAAATGTCACTTTCCTGTTGCCAGTACAAAAAAACAAAATCTGCCTTCTGTCAAGAAACTACCTTTAAAGTCTTAAAGGAACAGTTTGACATTTTGGGAAACGGCTAGCCTGGCTCTGTCCAAAGATAACAAAATCTGCCTACCAGCACCTCTAAGCTCTCTAATTCACACACTATATCTTGTTTGTTTAATCCGTTCTCAGCTGCTGACACCTCAACGTTAACGTACAGACTGTTATCGATCTTCTCATCGAACTCTCTGCAAGACAGCGGATAAGCATATTCCCCAAAATGTCAAACTTTAACTTTAAAACAAGTCGAATTGTATTAGAAACAGGTTGAAACAGCCACTCTTGCAGATTATTTTCACTTTCATAACTTGATAAACAAAGTGACTTTAGATGGATATTTCTTGCCTCCTGTTAGATCTTAAACAGACATGACCTTTTATTTAGTTGTATGTGTAACCCAAATTGAAAAATTCTAATCAAGGCAAAACAAGTGGCATAATCAGCATTCAAAGGTCTTATAATGTAGATATTGAGATTTCCATGTCTTTTTTTTATTATAAAGCAGGTATAGGTGCTATATAAATACCAAAAAGTCAAACCACAGAGAAAAACACACAGCCCATATTCAGACACTCTGCTTTTAATTCAGGCAGACAGTGTGAGCAAAATATTGTCTTTTTTTAAACAGTAGAGCATGTAAACATGTTCTAGTAGAAACGCAAGTATGAACCAGAAAATAAGCATGATACGTCTTCTTTAAGTCAGATCACACTGCTTAGTCTGCACTTGATAATAAACCGTATATATTTTGTGTTTGTAAAATGTATCCATGTATACTTCTGTACAGTATATCTCACTGGATATATGCCCTTTGCTGTGATCTTCCTCTCTTTCACTAGCCCCTCCTCTTGTATCTCAGAGAACTGCACCCTACACAGGAAGCAGTATCAGCCTCCTCCCCCATCTCCTCCCACATCCCTCCCTGCTTCCACTACAGCTGGAGACACCTGCAACTCCTCACCCTCCCATGAGCCCAAGGAGAAACGTGTGCACTTTGACCTGGAAACCCTCCACAGCTACCGCCTGCGCACACACACCGCCTCGGTGCGCGGCAGGCCCGGCATGGTCGGCCGTCCCGGGCTAGGCCTGGGAGGCTGGGGGCTGGGAAGCCTGGGGCGTTTTACCTCCCCTCCACAGATTAGCCTCCATTCCAATGGGGGACCCGTCTCTTCACTGGCTTCCACAGGCTTGGTGCTGTCTCCCCTGGCGAACCGGGCCGCTCAGACCAGCCTGTGGGAGGGGGAGCTCCAGGACCTGCAGGGGAAGATCGAGACGTTCCGCACCCAGCTGAGAGAGGCTCTGGCCAGGAGAGCAGAGATCCAGAGCAGCCTGGAGAGAGAGAGGTGTGGCCTTGTGCGCAGGGATACCAGTCTGGAGAGGGAAAGGGACAGACAGAGGATACAAACTATTAACACAGACAGAAGTAGCTCCACTCAGCCCAAACTCCCTGAGCGAGACAGGACCAGCCAGCTGCAAACCCTGAACAATCAACAAACAGGGAGGGAAAACCAATCAGGCGGTCCCTGGACTCTGGAGCACGGGAGAAGCAGCCAATTAAACACAGTTAACAGTTTGGACAGAGGGAGAGCTAACCAGTTACGCTCTGTAAACACTTTGACGGGAGAAAGGACTGTCCATTCGCGCACTTCCACCAGTTTGGAGCGAAGTCGAGTCAACCAACCAGGAGCTGGAAACATACCTGTCCAATCACGGAACACTTCTAGCCTGGACAGACAGATGGCTAACCTATCACGCACTCTGAACACTCCTGAGAGGACAGAAGCCAGCCAATCAAGTGTAAGCAGCGAGACTTGATGCGTAGGCTTGTGGAAAGAGTAGTGCAGTTGGTACTTGCATAGCCGTGGGAAGATGGCTTTGTTGGAATGGGTGAAGTTTAAGGGACACCTGCTGGAAAATGACAGTATATGTTAACTCACACCATTACTTACCGCAACCTAATCATTTTCACACTCGCTTAAAATTCCAACTAAAAAACTTTAACTGCAAATAAAGAACTTGTAAAATGTCTACATTATCCATGAAAACCATTAATAAGCAATGTAATCTTGTGGAATGAAAGCCAATATGATTTCAGCAAAAACTCAGTATATTTTCAGAAAAAAACAAATCAGAAAAATCTGGGAATAGCCATGACGATATGGGTAATCTGGCAATGCTAAAAATCCCTGTGGTCAATCAAATGGTTGTGTTTATTGAGGAGACCAGTGGTTTCCATTAGGAACCATAAACCACAGCTGTTTGACAAACAGAAGCCCATCAGCTGAATATTGATATATGGCCTGTTTCACTGACTAAAGAGGCCTACAAGCACATTGAGAAGTGAGCACAGGGAAATCTTAAGTTAGCCCAATGTGAAAAAACACCAAACTAAACTATATGAAAATACACTTGGAACATCTGTGTTAACAGAGTGCCAGGAGCAGGAGATAAAGATGCAAAAAATCTATATATTTTGAGTAATAATTGCCCAAAAATGTGAATGATAAAGGAATAAAACTTTGAAGAAATAGTGGTACAGCCCTAAATCATGTCCATAAAGATCCCATGAAATAAAAAAAAACAAGCGTTTTGTGTGTTGGCACTTTGTATCCTTGTGTGTATTGTCCCCGCCATCAACACTACAACACTAATACTGCTATGTGAAAAACACATTTTTGGATATTTTTATAGCAAAACCTAGCCCTCGTAAAATGTGTCAAAACGAAAAAGGTGCGCGCTCTTCCCAAACAGATGCTTTGAGATGGTAATTACCCCGGTGCTTTGATGGTTCCTGCATAAAATCACCATATTGTGGCAGAAAAATACACATAAATGGAAAACGTTTACCCAAATACACACCTCCAGCCCATTTCATGGCAGCTAGGTTTAGTTAACTCAAAGTACCATTCCACTTCAATTGTTTTGTCCTTGTTACCTATTATGAGCAAGTCGCAATCTGCATTCCATATAGCGCGACTCCTGTATTACACATAATGTTAAATGCTCATGGGGGGTGTAACTCAGCCTGTGAAAGCAATAGTCTAATGTCTTCTGTAGCTCTGACAAGAGCTTCAAGTCTGAGAGAATAATACCTGGTGACGAATAATCATTTGGAGACAGCGAAGGACTTAAACGTAGAGGTGGGTGACCCTCCTCCACATCAAGTCTATAATAAAAAGATTCTATGGGGGAATGTAGGATCCAGTATTTTTTAAGTTAGAGACAAAACATCAGGACTCCTGCAACTTTATGAAAGTGGAAATCAAATGGAGACCCTTTCCTTTGTAGTATGTTTTTTTTGGGGGGGGGGGGGGTTGGAAAACAAAGCGGACCCATCCCATTACTTGCAGGACTACTTTAACATTTCATGTGTTCATCTCTAGCTGCAGCAACGTGGGTCAGAGTTGTGTTATTTGGCTTAATTTTCCAAAGTGCTGTAGTTGATGTCTAAGGTGGCATATTTTCAAAGATGGAGCTCTCCTTCAGACTGTTAGAAATAACAATCCAACATTGTGTTTCCATGGAGCCATGAAAAATTACAATCTCAAAGTAATTTCCCTGAACTTTCAATTATCAGCTCAAACAGCTCAGAACAGTTGCACACATCTGTTTGGATTGTGGCTCCAGCCAGTAAACAAGTGCCGTCAATTTGGAATGAATTTGTTCACCATATCATTACTGAAGGAACTTATCTGGCAAGGATTTTGCGCTCAGTGAGTGTGATGTGCATGAATTCACACTGATTACATTTTACTAGCTCCCTGCAGATGTGAGTGAACTCCTATAAGTGAGAACTCTGTTTTTCCTTTTGTCATTATTAAACATTAAAATAGATGTACTCTTTTACACTGTTTCCACTCAGATAAAGCCTTTTTTTTTACTTTCTAATAAAACAAAGTGAAGTAAGTTTCATGCTCCATGTCAATGATGAAGAGAGAAGGCTCTTCAGAGGATGAATATATTGGGACTCTCATGCAGTTATTCAGTCAGCCACCAGAGGGAGCTGCATCCCCGCTTCCCGCGGCTATGGGCAGTGGAGAGTTTATGGATGGAGGTTTTATTCCAACAAAACAACTTATATCAATATGACAGATGGAAGCTGCATTTGATGTTGTTGTTCTCATGCAATAGCAGAGGACCTGGGGAAATAAGGCCTTTATGAAATCACTCCAGCACTATACACTGCAATGTCACCGAGTAGTATTGGAATACTCAATCTTGTGTGAGAACGCTTTGAACAGGTGTTGGGGATTTCACAGGTCGGAGACACTGATGTTACTGAAACAGAACTTTAGGCTTCTATGACGGCACTGATGTACATTTAAACGTTTCAAACGTTGCTGTGGTGTGAAGTGGTTGTGTTCACATGCCATGGTGTTTATGAGGGAAAAAATATATATTTTAGGTCTTTAACGAGAAAGAGCTTGTGGTATTGGATATTTAAACAAATACTTTTAAATTTACCCGTTATATAAAAAAAAGTGTAAAAGCATATTATTGAATTTTATCACAATGATCATTCTCATGTTTTGAAATAAACATTTATATACTTATTTACTTGCATTATCTCGTATTTTCAGTGTGAACACAATGAGCACATCGTCCAAATCACTTTCAAAGTAATTTGAAATCTAGTAATCCACCAATTTAATTGCATATGTGTGAACATTTAATCAAATGTTTTAATTATTTTCTGCAGGTAGATTTTCATCCAAAATTGTCAAGGCCTCTTCATGTGAGTACAAAAACACAAATTTCCCACAAATGACCCTGGCATTAAAGTCAAAAGTGCCAATTTAAAACATACTACGCACGTATTGAACTGCAGCATTGCTAAATGTGCAAGCTCAAATCTGTTTCAACCTCTTAATACACAAAGAGTGTAGAACAGAGCATCTGCCCCCAACACTAGTGTTTGTACTGGATGAGCTTTAATTGGTTTTGAGTTACAGGTGTGAGAAGGGCAATCAGCTTCTTAAAGCAGCATGATGCTGTTTGCTGACCAAAAAGAAATATTAATAATTAAACAGCTAAAAAAGGACATGTAGATATAGTAACCTGAGATAAATATACAACAATACATGAATCACAATTTGTCCACATTCATATCCTAAAGGAATAGTATGAAAACATTTTTTTAAATCCTATGCTCCTAATGTGTTATATATACTTCAATATTATGTTACATTTTTTTCTACATCTGGTATTATGATGGTGTCCATTTTGAAAATATGTAGTTTAGATTTTAAACTGGACTTTGGATATGCCTCCCCTACACCTGTTACTGATCCAGTATAAAATGTGAAAGTGTGCTCCTCCTCTGTTTAGCGCTTGTGAGGATCAGAGTGGGCTGATAGATGTGCATAATTTGGGCACAGGCATTGTACAGTAGTATGTGGAGTACTGTACACCACTTGGGTCTCCAGCAGAAAAACTAGTACTGAATGACCAGTGTGTTGCCAAGTTGTTGTTTAAAAGCTCTGTATAATGCAGCTTCTAAAGGGGAGATCCTCTGCTCCACGCTGATGCTTTAGCGTGATTAGCATCACATCTGGTGATGAAAATGACGGGTTGTAGCCGCTCTAAAGCTGAGTTTACTTTAAAGACCTGCAACTATCTCATGCAATTTCAGGTAAAAAAAGAAATAAAGATGAGAACATTTTGACAAAAATAGGACTATGCAATCAGATAGTGATATTGCACAGATACTGTCACTTATTGAAATCCATCTTACAAAGATCTTCGTTACACAAGTCAACGTAACATGCGGGATTGCAGCACAACAAGAGAGGTGGGGAATAACGGTTGCTGTTGCCTCATTGTGGCACAAGCCCAGAGACTTCTCTAAGCAACCCTTTGTTCCCGAGGCCACTTAGGAGGAGCTGTGAGCACTGCTCCACCTGAGGGTATAATGGTATTGTTTAACTTGTCGTGTAATGACAGCTTTCAACCGCACAGAGGCACTTGAACCTGCATTCATGTGCCTATAGGGGATAGGCACATGAATGCAGCGTGTGGAGTGGAGATACCTGCAGAGAATCACGTATATTTTACTGAGAGAGTGACGGTGTGAGAGTGTGCTCATTTTACAATCATTTTATCAAAAAGATAGTGAGTCGTGTATTTGAGTGTGTGTGTGTGTGTGTGTGTGTGTGTGTGTGTGTGTGTGTGTCTGTCTGTCTGTCTGCGCCCCTCATATAAATTTGCTAGTCAGTCACACTTCAGTTACCCCATGTAGCGGCGTCCTAGATAACATGGCAGAGCAAATCATTGTTACACATTGCATCTGTATTGGTCTATAGTCTTGTCTTTCATATTACAGTGGAATGTTTCTTAACCACATAGTAACATTAATACTCTTTTAAAAGACTAGTTAACACTGAAAACTGAGTGCTTATGTGAAACGTGACACTTGGTGAAGCAAATGAAGAATAGAAATAGACACCGCAAAATATGATTCTTCAGAGCCGGTGAGAGCTAACAGCCTGTGGGATGTTTGAAGAGGATGAGAGAGAGAGGTGTGTAGCACGCTGATGATTTAGTGCCGGTGAATCGACCGGACTGTATAAAGTGAAGATAATCGCAGGGTGATAAAGCCAATCAATCACATGTTCTCTGCACTCGCACAAGGTTCGATTCTCCTTGTAATAAAATAAACAATGGGCTCTTTGTCAGGTGACGGGGATGCACTGAATGGGTTGTTAAAAAAAAAAAAAATCAATCAGAATCCAATCACAGAACTGTGTGGGCTCTCATAGATGGATGGATGGATGGATGGATGGATGGATGGGTCGACATGCAGCTGCTTTTAATGCAATACATATGTGGAGTGTGTGCCTTACACTGCCTCAGCCTGGAGATCTGTATTTACTATGTGTGCATGGATGTAGTAGGTGTGTCCCTTGGCGAATGCCTACCAATGCACACATGCACATGTGCTGCATGTGTGGGCGTCTGCATGTGGTTTGCACACATCTGAATGGAGATGGTTGGCAATTTGCTCAGACTAAGTAATTGGGTCACAATTGTGAAAAGCAATCAAGAAGAATCTTAATCAAACTCAAAAATCCCCAATGTACTGTACATCTCTCCGGCAATTCCCTCGAACTGGGGTTTATAGCGAAGAGTGCTGATAATACACTAATTCTGTATTTCATTAAATCCAACTGTGGCAATTCCTGCATCTCAGAGTTACTGTTCCTGTGACCAAATCCACCATGTTGAGAGGAGTGTGGGTAGTCTGTGGGAAGCAGGCAAGAGTGCTCGTCCACCTCCACCTCACATGGCTCTCTCCCTCCCTCTCTGTAATGCTTTGTCTAGTAGGTAAATAGGAGCCATGCCCTGTGAGTGATGAGTTCATTAGCTCCTGCCAGCTGTGACCATCCCTTGGGTAATATTGGTGGGGTGTGTGCGTGATGTTGTCGGTGTGGGGGGGCTCTGGGGTTGAGGAAGGGGGAACATGGGGAGGGAGTCAGAGACTGAGGGAGTACCCCATGAGAACCAGAGAAACTCCCTGGCAACCAGAGACGGGATCAACACTAAATGGGGCACTCCAACCCTCCCCCCACACACCTCAATTCATCTAGCACCGAGCAGCAACACAGAGCCAAATCACAGAGATTGAGAGAAAGGGGGAGTGGGTGCTCCTGTGTGCGAATATATGAATGAGTGTAAAACCATCTGAGGCTGGTCAGCAGGCGGCTTCCTCCTGCTCTGCACCCTCTCAAATGAGTCAGAGCAGGTATTAACATGGCAGTGTCCCAGAATGTGTCACACCACCCGGTTAGAGAGAGAGAGAGAGAGAGAGAGAGAGAGAGAGAGAGAGAGAGAGAAACACGTGGGTGCTAAATTGATGTTTAAATTCAGTTTAAAGCCCCATTAAGAATTGATAACTGTGGGAGCAAAATATGTAGATCTCTATACAGGTAACGTATTCAGCGACCACAGAAGTGCGCGTGCACAAACGCGCCATGCACAGACCACCATCCGTGCACCCACAGCCGACTCTCAGATATTAATTTTCGCAATGTCGTGTGTGTGTGTGTGTGTGTGTGTGTGTGTGTGTGTGTATGAACAAACGCGATGCTCGGTGTGATAGCGGGGGCTTTTAACGCCACGAGCTCCTCACCAGAATCCAAATGCACCACAGTGGTCAGACGCGTGCCACACCCTTCTGGAGTAAACAAAGGGCAGGGACATGTGAGCTTTATCATCCCAGGGAAGATACAGAAGTTGAGGGTTAAACAAACCAATCTGATGGTGAGAAGCACGGGGCGTATCTGATGGCGAGCCTAATATTATAATTACAATGAAAATTGGCTGCTGCTTATAGATGAGAGGTTATCATCGAAAGAC